GGGCCGAGCCGCAAGGGTCGGGAGCACACAGCATGTATGTGTGTGTATCTGTTACACATCGATCCGGGCCTGGGACGCTGGCCAGGGGCACCTAACCGTAAAAACCCCAACGGTAACGGTCAGCACTGAAGCTCTCTCCCCCTAGCGGCGGGGGGAGAGGGGCGTGAGGGCCCACAGCCTCCTAATACGTACTGGTCGTCCGGGGGCGCGCGACCCATCACCCTGTGTCACTCCACCTCATGCACAGCCGCCCACAAGGATGATAAAAAGCGCATGAGGTGATGTTTGTGATGAATAACAAATGTTCACAAACACCAATAAGCAGCGTTTGGAATGATGGCGACTGAGGTTTCCCTCCACAAAGCACTAACCATCATCACCCCCGCACCATCATCTTGGTCGCCCATGCCCCCACGCCCCCAGGCAGCCAAACCCTCTTCCCCCCCCCTCGCCCCCCGCCGGGGGCCCCACCTGCTTCTTGTTGAGGAGCTCCTTCCGGTGTTTGCGGATGAGGGACCACCGGAGGCCGTACTGCTCGATGCCGCTAACCAGAGCAACCATCTCCTGTGCCAATGTACGAACGAAACGAACAAACGAATGAAACGAATGGTGAGCAAGCGAATGATTGATCAATGAACATGCAAACACACACACACACACACACACATCGAAACACACACATCTCGAAACACACATCGAAACTGCTCGTCACCTGCAACGTAAATCGCTCCTTGTGCGGGCCCTCCTTGTGCGGGCCGCAACCACCACCACCGGGCCTGCTGCTCGCCGAAACCCTCCCTGGACCACCAACATGGGGTGGAGCACAACCCCCTCCTCCTCCGCCTCCGCCTCCGCCTCCGCCGCCGCCTCCCCCATCATCACCTCCCCCCCCACCCCCATCGGAGCGGTCACGGGGCAGAGTCCCTGCCGGGGGGCGGTCGGCCAGCTCCTCCTCCCGGCCACCTCCTTGAGCTGGAACATGGACTTGAGTTTGAGCTGTGCTGCAGCCGCCGCCGCGGCCAGCTACAGCTGCTGCCGCTACAGCTGCGGTGGCGCCGTAGGGGGCCCCCTGAAAAAGGGCTATGGAGTCGTTGACAGTCGGCCCGGCTGTAGCTGTAACAGTACTGGCAGTAGCTGCTGCTGCCGCTACAGCTGCGTTCATCACCTGTGTTTGCAGTACTGCCTGTGGGGCCGGCGGACATACAGACATACAGACATGTGCAAATGAGGCGGGGCGTGAGGCGGGGTTGGGATTGCTGGGACTCGGCTATCGACTTGTGGTGTTGTTCGGCGGTGCGTATGTAAGTGTTCGGTCCGTATGTATGTATGTATGTACGTTCGTGGAGAGCCCGAGCACGACCCAGTTGACTAACTCTGTGTGGATCTGTCTGTTCACCTCTACCACCACCTCTACCACTACCACTACCATTACTATTACTGCGACAACCACCACCACCACCACCACTATCATCACCAACAACACCAATACCAACAGCAGCACCAAGTGCAGCTGAAGCTGCTGCAGAAACCTAAGCTACGTCCTCCCGCACCTTCCAGCCCACACCTAACCAACCAACCGACCAACTAACCGACCAACTAACTAACCCCCATCCCAGCCCTGAAACCCACCCCCAGCAGCTGCTTGTGTAGAGGCGGCAGCTGCAGGTCGGCTTCCTGCCGGGGTGGGGGGAGGTTCGGGGGGAGCGGGGTGGGGGGAGGGGGAGGGGGGAGGGAGGGCATGCGGAGGTCAAACCAGCAAGACGCAAAACAGAAAGGCCGGGGAAGGGGTTTGAGGGAGGGCCCCATCCGACCCGACCCGACCCGACCCGACCTGCCGGGTTCCGTTTCATAACAAAGTACGACCACCACTACCACCACCATCACCATCTCACCATGGCTATGTGGCTATTCGGCAGAATCCCGGCCTCCGCCAACGTACGACAGTCGCCTGCCGTACCGTCTCCTTCACCGCTATTGCAACTGCCGCAGCCGCCGCCCCCGCCACCAGTGCCGCCGTCGCCACCGCCGAGCATCCTCCAGGAAGGCTGAGCAGCCGCCGCCGCCGGCTGCTGCTGCTGCTGCGGTGCCGATACCTCCGCCACGCCCGTCTCCATTCCCCTTGGCCTCCCAGCCCCCTCCGCTGCCGTCAGCACCTTCGTACCGCAGTCGCCCCCGCCGCCGCCGCCGCCATGGCCGCCAGGCGACTGCTCCCCAACCGGATATCCCACAGCGCCCCCCGGGAGAACAGCGGCGGCGGCGGCGGCGGCGGCGTCAGGGCCTTCATTGGAGGCGCCTTCTCGTCTTCCCCCCCCGGCATGCCCCGGCTCCTCCTCCGCCGCCGCCGTCTCTGCGTGTTCCCCCTGTTCCAATACACAGCCCCCGGTGGCGGCAGTAGCACCTCCCGCCTCCCGCCCCCTTGCCGCTGTTGCTACTGCTACTGCCGACCGGACTGTAGGGCCGCCCGGACCCGCACCCGATGGATTTGCGGCAGCGGCTTCGCCGCCGCCGCCGTCACCCAAACGATCGGTGGCGGCCTTATGTTCACCATGACCCATGGGTCGCAGGGTCCGGGGCCACAGCGCGCTGCCCGAGGCCTTGCAGATGAGGCGCTTCAGGTAGCCCACCGTACAGTCCGCCGGCACTGTGAGGGCCTTATGGGTGATATGCGTACCCGTACCGGCACCGGCGCCATCAGCCGCCATTGCCATTACCGTTATCATTACCGTTGTCGTTAGCATTGCGATTGCCATTACCATTACCGTTATCGTTAGTATTGCCATTACCGTTATCATTGCCGTTGTCGTTAGCATTGCCATTACCGTTACCGTTTCCAGTACCCGGCAGGTGGATGGGCGTCGGGTAATTGGGTGGGGGGAGGGGTTGTGGGGGAAAGGGAAGGAAGAAGAGTGTGAGGGGAGGGGGGCACGGCGTCGGGTGTATGCAACCGGTACGGCAATCGCTAATACACAGAATAATACTGAAGGGGGACTGGTTCGGGTTATGACTACCTTTAACTCGGTAGTCCTCCTGCCAGGAAGTGGAGGGGCACCTCCCTCCCCTCCCCTCCCCTCCCCTCCCCTCCCCTCCCCTCCCCTCCCCTCGCCTCGCCTCCCCTCCCCTCGCCTCACCTCAGCGATTTGATTTCCCAGCTCAGGTGGCCGATTGACCCACACCACCTGGACGGTCGTGAGCCGCCCCGCCCCCGCCGCCTCCTGATATGCAACGTAATCCAACATGGCGTACAGATGCCGTACAGGCTCAGCCCAGCCCAGCCCGTCAGCACCGCCCCCGCCGCCAGCACCCCCGCCGTCGCAGCCTCCGCCGCCGTTGCTGGTGGCTGTAGCCGCAAAGCTGGAAGCAGACGGTGGCGCATTCGCCGCCGCCGCCGCCCCTGCTGCTGCTGTTGTTGCTGTTGCTACTGCTGATTGTCGTGCTACTGCTTCTGCCGTACCTCCCCCATGGGTATTAAACTGCGGGTTGAGCCTTGACTGCTGCTGCTGCTGCTCCATCATCCCCTGCTGCTGCTGCTGTTGTTGTTGTTGTTGTTGCTGCTGTTGCTGTTGTTCCCCCAGGAGCAAGGTCATGAAGGGCCTATTGTTCGCGTGTCCGAGCAGTACGGCAGCGGAGGCGGAGGCGGCGGAATCCATGCCAGGTCCGCCTCCGCCTCCGCCAGCGCCGTCACCCGACTCCATATCGGTGACAGACCCCACATGATCGCCGAAGCTCTGTAGCGCATGTGGGAGAGGATCAGAACCAGGACTAGTCCCTACTGCCGTTGTTGTTGTTGTTGTTGCTGCTGCTGCTAATAGCCCCGGGTATACCGCCTCTGTGTGGTGAGCTGGCTGTGTGACTGTGTCCTGCAAGCCGGTGGCTGAGAAGGCAGCGGCTGCAGCATCGGCGGGGGCTGGGGATCCAGTTTGGGCTGTTGAGATGTTGCTAGGTTCGGCGGCCAGTCCATTAATTAGCTCTTGATTTTCGGAAACCAGGACCTCCAGATGCAGCTGCCACGGCCGGCTGTCGCTTGAGGACCCTTGGCCAAGCTGAAATGGTGGGGAATGCAGCCCAGAGGATGCGGGGTCTAGGTCAATACCTCCAGGAGAGATGCTGCTTGTAGTTTGTTGTCGTTTTAAGCGAGTTCTCCTCTGATTTGCGGAGCTGGCGTCGCCGTCCAAGTGTGCAGCCGCGGCTGAGGTGTCATGAGGCGGCGAAGTGTCATCGTAGGGTCGCTTTGGCCAGGTTGACAGCAGGCCGTCGGTTGCTGGTGAGGTCACAGGAGCTATATCACGGCCTCCAACAAGCTGGAATCCTGACCCGAGAGCCGTATGGCCGTGAGCCATTCCAAGCCGCTGCTCAGGAAATTGAGCCGACAGCTAGGCGACGTTCATCGATGACCCAAAAAACCCCGTTACATTATACGCATACGCATAGTTGAAGGCTTATAGTCACTGTTTTTGGGTTGTCCCGTTCGGCTCCAGCAGTTGCTTGCTGACGAAAGGAGCCGGATATGGCGGCGGTGTCGTCTGCCCTTTGCAGCGATAATGACTAGGCAGGAAAGATCCATACCACTAAAGCAGATGTTAAGAATTTTCCCCATGGAAGGCACAACTGAGCGCAAAAACGCTCAAAGCCCTTTCTTGTGCAAGTACAGCAGTCGATGCTTGGCACTTTAATATGCCATGTACAAGATGACAAAAGTTCAAAGTTTTGGTATCCGATAAAATGTAGGCTGGGGCTTCTCATTTTTACTTAACCTTGACCGCAAGCTTTGACCCCGACAGACGAGTTTCCCACGAAGCGGGGAGATGCATCAAAATGAAGCGAAAGGACATCTGGAAAGAGCTCAACTTGCCGCCACCTCCCAAGAAGCCTTCGAAAACGGCTGCATCAGCCAGGCCGGCGCGCCAAGAGGCAGCGCAGCAAGAGCTTCGATCAAGCTGCGTTAGGACGCTATTTTCGGCTCTGTCCACACCATCTCCGGATGGAGGCCAGCAGCAGCCTTCTGTCGACGAGGCCGACTTGGGGGACGCAGCAGTCGGTGAGCTTTCATCTCGATGTCGCAGCTCAGCCGGAAACCATACACCGGACCCGCGGAACATGCGCGAAACATATTATCCTCCTCCTCACATACATCTGCTGCATATTTGGATCTGCCAACCGGAGGTTGCTTGTGTGGGCCCTTGCCTTTGTGCTGGTAACTGCGCGACCTGCGGCCGACCGAAGCAGCTCCAGAACCACAAAGCCCCAGTTGCCCTCACGCCACACGACCCCGGCCCTGCCCTCGCGCTCAATATTTAACCCCCATAACCGCATGACTCCCACATACTCCACTTCCATGCTGAGCACAGTCTGTATGCAGCCCCACCGAACCCGCTTCAGGTACCAAACCCACACATCGCTCTCGCGCGCACAACCGCCGCCTCCTGACTGGGCCACAACACACACGTGTCACAACACACACGTGTCACAACACACACGTGTCACAACCACACGTGTCACAACACACACGTGTCACAACACACACGTGTCACAACCCACACGTGTCACAACCACACGTGTCACAACACACACGTGTCACAACACACACGTGTCACAACACACACGTGTCACAACACACACGTGTCACAACACACACGTGTCACAACACACACTTGGTGATGTCCCTAAGACCATCAACTCCCCCTCCGCCGCCTCCCCTCCCTCATCCTCCCCCCCCCCCGCCGCCTGCTGTGGCAGAACCCCTGGCTCAAGCCATAGAGCGGGAGCTCTTCTTCCGCCACCACCACCAGCGGCAGCAGCAGCAGCAGCAGTCAGTGACCGACCAGGTGCGTGGGCGGAGAGGGGAAAGTGTATGTATGCGTATGTTGGAGCGAAAGTGTATGTATGTATGCGAGTGTTTCATAGAACTAGGGCGCGAGGAAGGAGTGGCGAAGTTGGCAGACTTGCAACCTCGCCCGTCTGTCTTTCTGTCTGTCTGTCTGTCTGCCACATATGCACACCCGTCCCCTCCCGCACAGGAGTACAAGGCAGCCGCAAGGACGCTAGTAGCAAGCCTAAAGGTACGACATTCGTACTGGGCTCTTTGGGATGATCTCTTGGGAACGAGCACCCCCTCTACCCCTTCCCACCCCGGCCCCCAACCCACCACACCGCCTCTCCTCTCGTCCTCGCACCCATAACATAACCACTCCCCTTCCCTCCACCCTGCTCCCCTCCCCTCCACCCTCCCCTCCACCCTCCCCCATGCCCTCCCTGTAGCGCAATGCGGACCTGCGGCGGCGGGTTCTCAGCGGTCAGGTACGGCCTGACGAGCTGGTGGGCATGGGCGTACGACAACTAGCCACACCGCAGCAGCAGGAGGAGTACGCCAGGCTGCAGGTACGGAGAGAAGAGGACTAAGGGGACTAGGTTACGCATCCCTCTGGCGTTGGGTAGTACGGCGTACGCACGTGCGCGTACGGAACATGAAGTCTATGTAAATATGGGAAGCAGCAGCACCCGGTAAGTTTGCGACATACACATACACACACATACACACACACGCACACATACTCACGTGCGAACCCCAACCCCGGTGGTCTTCATTTTCCTATCCATTCCGTCCCACACACATACATACGTACATACATACACATACATACGTACATACTGTGGGCTCTCGCGGCCCATAGTGTAATCTAAGTCATACATACATACATACATACATACATGCATACATGCATACATACAGGAGCGGGAGACTCGCCGTGTGACCCTGGCGGGGCACGGATCCGCAGCCTCCATATCCACTAGTGACTACGTCTGCGGGCGGTGCGGCGGCCGCAGCTGCGACTACCTGGACAGCGGCCGGCGGGACATCGGCAAGTGCGAGACCTGGGGCAGCAAGGACGGCCCGGGGAGCAGTCGCTTGGTGACGTGTCTAGGATGCGGACACCGATGGGAAACAGATGATGTATGATGTCGTACAATGACTGCCGTACGGTTCTGCCGTACGGTTCATGTGCGTCTATAAATATGTTTTTTGGTTTGTGAATGCGTGGTGCCTAGCTGTATGTGGCGCTACGTGCATCGGGGGTTGGGGGTGGCGCACGAGTATCATGTATGATGTGTGGGACAGGGAGGCCCATATCTTCACCCTGAGGCCGATACCCGGCAGACCCTGCCTTCCCCGGTGTTTCGGGGCACTCTCATCTAGTCACCCTAGCCAACTTCTCAGTGGATCGCTCAGGTTTTCAACACCCACCACCGGCATCCAACGGAATCAACGGCGGCTTAACTCATTACCTAATCAACTCGCGTGTCTACTCTTTCCCAGGTAACCACCTTGCATCTGGACTAGGGGCACTCTTAACTTTTTGCCTATGGAAGAATTTCGACCGTGACAGGTTTCGATCCCGATACCGCCGGGGCATCGGTGTGTGCGTTACTAGTAGTGCCTGAATCGTGTCATGTATTAATGCATGTATGTGTTAACGTAAACCGTCGAAACGTGACCCTTCCCAAGGGGGGTAGAGGGGGTGGGTAGGAGGAGGAGGAGGTGGCTAATTTAAAAGGCTAGGAGGGCTAGGAGGGTCTGATGACGGCGGTGCGGGGGAGGAAAGGTTGCGGCCTTGTGCGAGCAGGTTGTGGGGCTGTTGGGCAGAGGGGAGGCGACGTGAGGTGGATGGTGATTGTGATGATGGTGGTGGTGGTGGTGGTTGTGGTGGTGACTGTGGTAATGGTGGCCATCACTCACGTGGCTAACAAGCGCACAATAATAATCAGGAATGCTTCGCCAATGATGTGCTTTTTTTGAATCAAAAAAGTGAAATCCAGAGGAAAAACTCTAAGCAGGAAAATTTGTACATGTATGTATGTATATATACTATATATTCACGCATGACATTGCCGTACATATTGTTTGTTTTTTTCTCCTCCGTCCTCCCTCAAATATTTGTTTTTATGGGGGGAGTTGTTGGGAAATATGTCCTGACGGATTTGTACTGACTGCATTCTGATTGATATCTCTTCCTGTGTAATGTGTGTTGTTGTCGGGGCCCCGCGGGACCCCTCGGGTGGATGGATACTCGGGGTGGTAGGTGGTAGGGGGGGGGCCTTGGGGACAGCGCTGTACGGGAGTTCCCAGATTGGCACGTACATGCAATAGATGATACATAAACGCAAAGCCTGTGTATGCATAGGTGTACATATACATGTATATACATGTATGTACATACATATGTATATATACATGGGGGAATTCTCCCGTGGTTTTTGAATGGCTGCTGCGTGAGTGTGTATGTGCAGGTGCTTGACGTGCGCGGGGGCGGCCAAATTAGCAACTGCTAGGGAGGGGGCGGAAGACAAACTGCAGGCAGCAGTGCTGCGCCTTGCTTACAGAGCTTTGGGGGGGGCCCTTTGCGATCACGTTCACAGAGCTTTGGGGGGGGCCCTTTGCGATCACGTTCACAGAGCTTTGGGGGGGGCCCTTTGCGATCACGTTCGCATCTCCGTATCTTGCCAGGGGCGGAGACAGCATAAGCCGAAGGCTGCACACCCACACACCACGACACCGGATAGGCAGCATGGACAGAAAAGTCGCCGAATGATGCGAAGCCTGTTGTCCGGGGAGGTGTGTGTGTGTGGGGGGGGCGGTTGGCGGCTTCTGGGAGGACCACAGCCCAAGTGCGGTCATGACGCACATGCGAAGCGAGAGAGAGGTGTTGATGGCCCATGGGTAGCGGAAAGAAATCACACCATCGTGCGGTTGGTTGGTGCAGAACTCCGGTGACCGTTAGCCGTTAGCAGGCGGAACACGTGCGCAGGAGGGCTAGGGCGGGTCTGACCGGGCGAGGCGGTGCTGCTGTGCTGCTCGCCTCGCTTCCCACCTCCTCTTGGCGCGAGGGCATCATATACTATAACAAACATAGAAAGAGCAACGAGACGCTCTCTCCCCGCATCCAATATCCGATTAAAGAAAAGTGCTTTCGTCGCTGAGTCGCCTGATTCGTGGCGACTCCTGGAAGGAGCAGCAGCTGATAGGGCTCCAGGCTCAGTGACCCAGCTATGGCGGCATAGCGGCACTTCCGAGAACACCTCACTGTCACTGACTTGAGAGGTCACCCCCTCGATTCCCACCTGGAAACGTCTACAAAGATTTTCCAGACTCCACTGCATTGGAGTGGATTCGCAACACCTCCACTTAGCATCATTTTCAGAATTTAGAATGGTTTTGGGATAGACAGCGGATTACGGCACATGCAGACAAGATCAAGTTGTCGTACATCAGATATTTTGACGTAAGAACGCACATAACCTCCTGCAACACCGAAATTCAAGTGCCTATTACACTGTGAAGAAGGAACACACACAGGAACAAAGACATATTTAGATAACAAAACACGTGCCTTAAACCTGCGTTAAATGCAAGCATTCCGCCTACAGCTCATACATATCGTCATGCGCACACAGATGCATTATCAAGGATAAGTCCACATGCAGAAGGAGCGCAGCCCCAGAGGCCCAAGAGTATCTGCAGCCCATGGCCGTGCTTCGTAGGCATGCAAGTGCAGAGCCAGAGAATTTTTTTGGTAAAGAGCACACCAAAGGGGCAGAGAACGCGCTCCTCCTCCTCTCACTTGGCATTCCTCCATCCCTCCGTCCCAAGGAAGGCTCCAAAAGCATCATCGGCCATCATCGTCATCATCGCGCCACATCGACACTAAGAAGAAGAGGAAAAATAGTCGTTTATAGTTTGTTTGTTTGCCTCCACGCTGCGCGGTCACACAAGCAGCTTCTCTTCTTTTTCCCGGGCGTATTTCCCGGTGTACAACGGTATCATACACACACGTGACGGCACGTGCAGCACGAAGCACAAAATAAGGCAGGGGAGCAGAGCTTTGAACACACCGGCACAGCAACGGAACAGCAACGCAGAGCAGCCACATGCCGCGGGTTCTTTTGCATTCCTCGCTTTCCAAATCGGCAAGGAGGAGATGCAGACGAGTCCTCGTCCTCGTCCTGCAGTATCAGTTGGTGCAACCCCCGCTGGAGGGTGCGTACACACACAGACACATACACACACAGACACACACACAGACACACACACAGACACACACACAGACACACACACACCACGAAACGAAACCGCCGCGGTGCCTCACATTGCTCCCCCCCTTGTGCATTTTGTGCAGTTACGACAGCTTCACACGCTCCTTCCACTGCACTGCACATCACTGAAAACTCACTTCAAGAAGAATCCGGAAGATGAATTCCCCTCCCCCCCTCCCTTCCCTCTGAACCCCCGCTACCGCCACTGCACACACATATACACACACATACATACACACGCACATACACACGCACATCGATTGGCGGACTGAATGTCGAGAATGGGGATTTATTCAGACCCATACAGTCGCCGTGTCGCAGCCAACAGCCCTTTCCGCTTTTGCAAGCAGAGTCCACAAAGCCAGGCAGCAGCAGTACCAGCAGCAGCAGTACCAGCAGCAACTGCAGCAGCATGCACAGCCAGGACCCTAATGGTCACCAGGTACTGCACACCACCACCACCACCACCACCACCACCACACCACACCATCCACAACTATTCCAGCTGCTTCATTCCCTTTGTGGCTATGTGATGTTCGAAGGGTGTCAGTCATACTAGGGTGTCATGCCGCCCCTCTCCCCCCTCAGGCCTTAAGCCCCAATTTTAACAAACAAAACATTGTAACGGCGTATCCGACCAACCGACCTACCAGCGGCTTGCGCCACCGACTGCCGCACAGGAGCACAAAACACCCACAACCACCACCCGAGCCTGATACCTCCGAAAACACCGCCACCACCACCACCACCACCACCAGCACCACCGCCACCACCACCACACCAGCACCACCGCCACCACCAGCACCACCACACCAGCACCGCCACCAGCACTAGCGTCCACGCTACTTACTACACGACCTTCTTGTTGCTGCGATTAAAAGTTAATATAGCGTCATACATGATGAGATGCGCACCGAGCAAGATGGCAACAAAAAGCCAAATCCTCACATACAGACACACATACAGACATACATTCGGGCTCCCTCAGCCCCGCCTGGTATCTCCTCCGATCCCCCCTTCGTACAACCTCAACCTTTCGTCCTACCACATTGGCTACAGGGTCCTTAAACTCTCCCGTACAAACGATACTCGTCTATCCGTACACCATAGACCAGCAGTACGGGTCAACCAGGTTTTTAAAAGTGACAAAAATACACGTGCACAGAGGCTGTCTGTCTGTCTGTCTGTCCCTCCTGCGACGCAACTGGTTCCAACAAAACTCACTCCACAGCCTGCCCTCCCAAACGAGAGGCCAATGGACCCTGGGGGGACGTCATACGCCGACCAAAACCAGCACCGAAACCAGCGCCATTACCGTACATTGCCGTACATTACCGGCATCTTTTATGCCTTATCCGACCTCTACGACGAGCAGACACATGCATATGGCACGCAGGCGGTAAATAGTGCATGCGGTGACCAAAAACATCCGCAGCGCCACCAGCACACATTACCAATCGGTGGCTACACTACAAATATAAAAAAGAAGGGAAGAAAGAAAGAGGAGGGACACACGCGCTTGCGCGGGAGAGTGATAAGAGGGGGGTGGGTGGCCCCCGGGGTGGGTGACTCTTAAGACGGAGAAGAGGAACAAGGGGAACAGGGGTATGGGTTGAGGGAGCGGAGTTACCGATCAGGCAACTGGGGGACCTGGCGGGAAGACATCAACCTCCCCCACCATCCCACCCCGGCCCTAAACCCGCAGTACCCCCTAAAACCCCAAACACCCTCCCAACCACATGCACCTCTCCCGCTCCTCCCCCCTCTCTCCCTTACGGAAGGAGGTCGGGGCATATCAGCAAAGCGAACCCCGCATCAGACGTCGGACAACCCAAATACCCTCTCCCGCCCTCCTTCCCCGCATCCCTCTCCTCCGCATGACAACCCAACACCCCCTTTCTCTCCCCTTCTCTCCCCTTCTCTCTCCTTCTCTCTCCTTCCCTCCCCCTCTCCCTCCCCCTCCCTCTCTCTCTCCCCTGCTCCCCCTCTCCCTCTCCTCTCATTGTGCGGTTGCCACCGCCGCTGCCGCTGCCGCTGGCCCCGCAGCTAAGCCCATTGCTTCGACGACATCCGTCACGGCCTCATCGTCACGGCCCGTCGTGGCGCTGCCAGGGCTCGACGACGCCGGGGAAGCCGGGAGCACCAACGACCCCCCTCCTTCTTGCATCGACATCATCATCGCCATGCAGCTTCCGCCGCTGTTCACCGAGGACAGTGGCGACCCGCTCCCAGCTGCTTCCGCCGCCGCCGCCGCCGCCGCTGCTGCCATCTCCGTTGCCACCTCTTCCGCTGCAGCGGCGAAACACTCCGCGGCCCCTCTGGCCGCGCCGTCACCATCCACCACGCCCTTGGCCGCGGGCCCCGAAGGACCGACTGCTGAAGGACCCCCCACAGCCGGCTCCTGCACGACCTCCACGTCAATGCCAACGCCAACGCCAACGCCAATGTCGATGTCGAGGGGGAAGCGCTGCTCCGACATGGTGCCGTCGGGCATGGGAGTCAGCTCTATGAGGGTGTGGAGCGGCATGCTGAGACGGGGGATGTCTTCCGGGGGAACGTTCATGAAGTAGGCGTACACGGCGCGGAGGACAGCCTGTGGGTGCGGCGGTGGGGAGTGCGGTGGGGAGTGTGGTGGGGAGTGTGGTGGGGAAAAGGGGGTTAAAAACGCGAACCATGGACTAGTGATGCGGATACGAGGATGGGGAGAGGAGAGGAGAGGAGAGGAGAGGAGAGGAGAGGAGAGGAGAGGAGAGGAGAGGAGAGGAGAGGAGAGGAGAGGAGAGGAGAGGAGAGGAGAGGAAAAAGGGAAGCTTAGGAAGGGTATTTTCAGGCGCCAAAGGGGAAAGAAGGGATCTCACAGAAACAACAACAAAAGACCCCACCAACGGAACGAGGGGAATGGGGAAACACATAGCAATAGCATGTGTCCCTCATACACATAGGGCAGATGCCTGTACTGCAGTTTCAGTACATATTCCGTATTTGTTGCATCCCTCTCGTGCATTTTCTAATCTTGTGGTACGACAGCCACATGGTGAAGCGCAGGAGGGGCCCCCCGCGTGAGATCGTAGGAAGAAAAACACATACGTACACACGCCCAACTCCAAAAGGCCCCAAGCCTCCGGATAAGACTGACTGACTGACGTACAGACATACGCACGGACATGCATACAGACAGACCTGGTGCGCCACCACGAGGACGCTTTCCCGCTCGCGCTCCAGCTCAATAATCACGGGCTCCACTCGTTGAATCACGTCCATGTACGACTCTCCTGACGGATACCTGATACGGCACAAGGGGGTGACGCACGCGAATACGGGGGGAATAAAACCCTAAAACCCGGGGGCGTCGCGGCCGATGTGGGTCACGCGTCTTTCAAAATTCCACTTTCGTACGCTCGTACACATGCCGCCAGGACGCAGAGGGAGGGGGGGAGGGAGGGAGGGAGGGAAGGGGCGAGGGAGGGAAACTCGAGTGCCACCACCCTCCTCTCTTCACTGCACGGCAATACCACGGCAGCGAACCCCCCTAACCGCACAAAGCTGCTGCCCGCATCCCTAGTTTCACGCCATCCATCTAGAGGCCATCCAGCCGATAAATGGCCAAAAGCCAAAAAAGCACCGTTACCGTTACCGTTACCGGGAATGCAGCGTATCGGGCGATGGCTCTAGTTATACCCCCGGGCTACGGCGCTTCCCAGCTTCGTGCTCTTGCGTCCTTTCGTTCCCTTCTCCTCCCCTTTGCGTTCTTCCATACCGATTTTTCTTTCCATATCGATTTTTCCGCACATGGAAAATGCGCATTCCCAAATTGGCCTAATTGGACGAGGCCCCTCCTCACCTGTACCGGAGCTTGTCCTTTTTGCGAGCCTCGTACTCCTGCGGGTACCTCTCAGCAATCTGCTCATACGTCATGCCGTCGCAAATGCCCGCGTCAATCTCGTCCAGGGCCTTCCAGCGCAGTTTTGGGAACGGCAGAAACCTGGCGGATACAGATACATGTCATTGGAAAGTAAAACGCGTGCTGTGTGGAAAGATCGTACGTAGGGATTACTGCGAGCGTTTGAGCCCAGATTTTTAAATATAATGCGTGAGAATCATGCCATCGCCATCGGAACTGAAACTCAAGAGGCGTTGATAAGACGGGGTGAGCTCATAACCCATGGAGGTTGAACATCCCAAAAACAGGACCCGAACGGCGCGGAGCTCGGATGCCCAGGATTTGGATGTTAATCAGCAACGCGTGAAAGAATTTAACCTATGACGATGTATTGCCGCATGCCCGGGCCGAGCTTACCGGGCGGTCTCAATTGTCCGTTTCAAGGTTGAGGTCCACACCGCCACGGAAACCGGCTGCTCCTGGACACAAAGTCAAATGCAGCACGGAGCAGATATATTGCCAAAGACCAATTGCACTTTGGTTCAGGAAATGCCCAATTCAAAAGCGTTCTGCAGCTGTCTCGGCATGTTTTCAACTTCCTAATGAACGCCTCTGATTGGTTTTTCACTTGTAGATAACAATAAAGTCAAAGCTTCAAAACATCCCCACTCAATAAGCCTCTCAGCCAATCATGAATGAAGCAACATTCCTCAATTTTATGAATCGCAAGTGCGCACCTGAGGAAGACGCGCTATCAAAGCCCCCGGCAACGCCCGCGAATAGCGCTCTCCGCGCTCCGAGAGTGAGCTGTTACCACCGATGAGCCCCTTTTGGCTGCGCGATATGATGCAAGAAGCGACTCAAGTCGGACCAAGGCACACAGCAATCGCCCATTCCAATTACTTACTTGTATTCTGATTCCCCATGCCTAGAAAGCCATATCTTGCGGACGCTTGTCATCCCTGCTTTACATATCTGCATGCGCGGGAGCAAGCAGGAAGCTCCGTCGACTCATCACTATGCAGCCGCATCCAGTTAGAAACAAGTGGATAGACGCTTAAATTCCTCAGCTGCGGACGACATGTTTTCTAGGAGCGCACGCTGCTTGGGCGTACCATGGGCCGTTTACTTTCTCCGCCTGCACCCATTTCCAGTGAAGAACTGGAGCTATACTATACGTTGGGAACTAGGCTGAGTATCGCAACTATTGTCACCCAGGACACGTCGTCGCGCAGTGAGCAGGCCTACGAAGCAACAGTTCGACTAAATGCACGTCCTAGGGATGAGACCTATGTAAAATGCTTTACTAAAAGAGTGTCACAAATAGAATGGGGGATCAGCGGGTTGCACGAATCTGGTACGCCCACCATTACGCTCGTCCTCTTGCCCAATGTCGTCCCAAGCAGGACCTCTGAGGAAGCCTCAGCATTGGGCGCTCCCCGATTGGATAGCTTTTCGACACGAACACTTTACGCGCATTCTTTAATAGCTCTTCCATGTAATCTGCTGGGCCTCCGCAACAGACAACATCGACAGGCATCTCCGAGCCCCAGTCTCAAAGCCAAAACAACGACCGCCATTAGACCTTTCACCGCCTTGAAATCCTAAAAATTGGGAAATCAACCATCTTCACAGTGAGCAAAGGCCCTGGCAACCCATTTAGCAGTCGTAACAATCCACTAAGCCTTTTCCAGGTCATTGCACTTTTACCCGGGCTTTTTGCAAAGTTCTTCATAGGGGTACATGCGCGGCCTACTACTACAAACGAACTTCCTGGGCAACGGGCTGTGTTACCGCCTCGACAAAGCTAGTTGGTTTTACCTTCTCAATCTCGCTTCACACTAATCTCGCGTGCATCTCTTCTTTTTAGATGATGCGCGATGTTCTCCTCTTTCCACACGCTACACAACAAAAAATTTCAGCTTAAAACTTCATTTGGATTATGACTTGCCAACATTTATGTCTAAAAACCTAATCCTCCCACAAACATCAGTTCATGTTTGCCTTCTAAATTCTGGGCATATGCATGCTACAAGCACTAGGAGCACGGTAATGATTCTTAACACATGTTTTCATCATAATCCTGACAACCAAGGCAAATATCCCCCGACCCAAATTGTAATAAAAACACCCTCGCAAGACAACCCCCTGAGCCGGTGGCTTCACCCCGGCGGATTCCACACACACCCGAATAAAACTTCCTAGCATCCTTCCGTGTGTCCGGTCCGCTACGTTCGCTCTTTTTTCTTTGTTGGTGCTGATCGGCTATCGGCGCGTTCTTGTCTTTTTTGACTTGACTTCTGGTTGGGGGCCGCTTGCCAGGCGCGATAAAACCCAAAGGCAGACACACTCACGATCGTCATCACTCACACGTACATAACATACATACATACGTACATACATACAAACACACGCCCAGCACCCACCTACCCACCCCCCTACCTGCATCAGAAAGAACACGATCTTCCCCGGCAGGTAGCCGCTGATCCGGTTGATGTCCCTGAAGTTGCATACATGCATACATACATACATACATACATACATACATACATACATACATACATACATACATACATACATACATACATACATACATACATACATACATACATACATACATACATACATACATACATGGTGTGGCTGCTTAATGTGTTGGCAGTCTGAGTCGGGGTCGGGAGCACACAAGACTAACCGACTTGTGCTGTGTGCTCCCGACCCTTGCGCTGTGTTTCGGCTTCGGCCCCCGGCTCTCGCAGCCCACAGTGTAATCTAAGTCATACATACATGCATACGTACGTACATGTGGCCCCTTCCCGTGACCATATCAATGAGTTTGATGTAGTGCAGGTTGCGGTCGTTGATGGGTTCGTACACTTCCTCGTACTTGGAGATACGCGCGAGGAAGTCCGCAACCGCCTGTGTGTGTGCGTGTGTTTTGGGGGGGGGGGGTTGAGTGGGTTATGAGGGGGGGTTGAGTGGTTTTTGACGGGTTTGGGGTTTTTGGGGGGGCGGGTTGAATGGGTTTTTAAGGCGTTGGGGTATTGGGGGGGGGTTGAATGGGTTTTGAAGGGGCTTCCGGGGCTGAATTGCGGATTGAGGAATGCATTCCCCGTGTTTACGCATTTGTGCCTTCATGTCTGTTCGTACGCGCATAACAACGAAGTTTCCGAACATTCGCGTGCGTATGGTATGACGATTAAAAAAAACACATGCGTAAAGACACAAACGCGATTCGGCCAAAAAATTCCCTTTTACGGACACTCTAGCTCCACTTGCGCTTTGGTCCCACGTCTCTTAACGGGCGACGTACGAACATACGGAATGATCGTACGTACGTCAACAAGGTATACGGACGCAGACGCATTGGCCGTATTGCCGTCTTCGGGGCATCCAAAAACATCCGAGTATTACTCCATATGTTATCAAAGCGCTAACACACGCTGGAAGACACAGG